TAGGCTGTGAAAATATTTTGATTGGCTGTTGTTATCAATGATGTCTCTGAGTCACAGTGAGTAAAGAAATATTTCTTAATATTTGTAATCATAAAAGGAATAATTTCCAAAAGAAAAAAAATGTAGAATATTTGTTTATTAGTCATGTTTAGATATCTTTGGATCTAGATGGAGTAATAATAAAATAAATTTTAAAAAAGTAACTCATGATAACTGAATGACTAAGATTACTGATAGTATGCAAACCTCTTCAATAAATTAAGTCAGTCAAGATAATACCATTGCTCTTGCACAATTCGACTAAGTTCTTTAGTTATAGAAAGAATTGTATGTCTGTGCTAGGCATAAGATTGTTTTATTAAAATAATTGCTTTGTCACTTACATCTACCAGCAGCAGATTCATATTAAGTTGTACGTTCTCAATATTTTTCAGCTCTCTATCTCTGAAATCTGAATGCATCTTAACAAATATTGTTAAATTACTGTAGGTTTGATAGAATATTGCTTAACGCTTAATGTGACATTAATTAATAGATATTGAGATTTGGGAAGGATATTGAGCAGAGGATAGTGGAAGAGGGTGCGACGAGCCTAGACTAATCTCTTTAATCCAGGATTGCTCTCGTAACTTCAATTGTCTCATTTGAGTCCAGTGTAATCTCATTGTTCGATAATTGGTAATCCATCATTGACTAAGTTTATGTAAATATATCGACATCCATATTACAAAAGCCTGTAAGTACAAAAACTAAAATTATTCATACAATGAAATAAATAGCATTATTGTTGTTTTATGAACTAGATTTTCTGTTCAATTGTTACTGCCTTCTTATGACGACAATGATTACAAAGCAAAAATGCTATTTAAAACATTAGTTTTAAATAGCATTTTTGATTTGTATTTCTTTATATGCATCAGGCCAAAATTAATGAGAAAATCTCAAAACAACACTTGCTAATTATGGTAAATATACCAGTTATAGTTTTCATCTCATTAACAGATAATAAGATTTATCGCTCAAAAGAGAGTGTTAATATGAGTGGATTTGAAGATAAAACAATTAAAAGGGTGATGCTTGAACCTCAAGTGATATCAGGTCACAATAATCGATTGGCAATTGATTTTTTAATGAAGCAAGGCTGGGATTTTTCAATGTTTTTCTGTTCCAGGGGTGTTTCCTCATCACTTTTCTTTAGGAGATAAGTTTAAAGTTTTGATTCATTCATCTGTTGTTTGATATTTCTTTGTTTATAACTGCGTTATATTTATTTTGGGTTTATTTAATTATATTAAAAACCAGTGAACCCCAAAACCTGGTTGTCTTTTACAGGTGCAAAATACACTATCAGAATTTCCTAAGCGTTCCATGAATAATAAACTAATTGACTATATAGAACAAAGTCGATAAAAGACTAAATTTTTCATCAATTAAATCCATTTACAAAGATTCACCATCAGAATTAAAATTGTAGTTCACATTAATGTTAAAAATTCCTCTCAAAATGTCTATTACCGCTAAATTTACCATAAATTGTACTTGCTGGCTTTTGCAGTTTGGCTGTTGACATATAAAAATAGATTATAGGTGATATGTAGTCATTTTAAGATTTTTATTGTTGCCGAGGTTTCAATCCAAGAATGTGGGTCATCCTCAGGGCATCTACTGGTCCAGTACTTAAACACTTTCAGTACTGGTAACATGCCCTAATGATGACCAACATCCTTGATATGAAACGTCGGAAACAATAAAAATCGTAAAATGACTGCTTCCTGAATATTTATCTCCTATGATATGTAGAACAGTCGAATAACTTCCTTCAATCAAAATAGATTATGTTAAACGAATTAGGTTCTCAATAATGTCCATTTCAAGTTTGCAAAATGCCTATACCTTTATTTTAGACACCTGGTTCATGAATCTGTTAGCATAAATAATTAAAAAAACAGTGATTATTATATTATAATTTTTTTATGTTAAAAAATTCATGTGAAGCACTAAATTCTACTAAAAACAAGTCAGTACGTTTGATTGCAAAAATAAAATGAATTTTTTACCAATTTCAAAGTTTTTATTGTTATATTTTTAAAATATAGCAGGTGTATCTATCAATATAGTTAATTGTCTATCATCTGTGTCTATAAATGCAGATTGCTGTGAAGGGAAGATAGCAAATTATTGGCTGCCAACCAGAGCGTTGGGTAGACTGGTCAGATTGTTTAATTAATTATTATTATGTAGATTCGGCAACACTGGCCTTCCACTCATGTCTGCCAGGCTGCCTTCCCAAATCTCGAGAACTAGTCATTGGTACAATAATGTTCAAAACCTCAGCAACTGAAAATACCTTTCAGCTGGCGTGCTTTGAATAGATAACCTCCAACCTTGATAACCTCTAACAGTGTTCAACATTAGATATTAATTAATAATGATTTACTTCAATAATACATATATATTTTTATTTATTTATTATATATTTTTAATTTTTTGTTGCAGCTATCAGAGCAGTTTAAATGAATTTTATCTGAACTCGAACTTAAAGAATAGTTCTTCCTCGCACTCCCCAGTTTTACTTATATTTTTTTATTTCACCAATTTAAATACATAGGTAATTTCATTTAAAGAAACTTCATTATTTATTTATAAGTTAAAATAAGTACAAATTGTTTTGTAAATTAGTTTAGTTTGCTCATATTCTATTATTTTGTCACCCCATAATGTGACATTTCATTTGATAAAACTAGTTGTTACTGCTAACATAATTAAAAATATTTATTTATTATTTCTCATTTATTTATTGCTTATATTATTAATTGGGTACTTGCATAAAAAAATATATCATGTAAATTTGAGCTGTGATAGAATTAAAGTGACAAAGAGTGTATATATGATTGAAATTACATTTTTTAAATATTAAAAAAGGTTTATGTTATATATATAGCTAAAAAAATTGATTAACATTTTGTTGGGGAGATATATTGGGCAATTAGGATGTGGCTTAAATCCAACATTGTATAACGCATATGGCTACCTAGCACGGTGCTATCAGATATTTTTTAGCCCTACTTAATTAACATGCATTTATTAAAGCTAATAAGATAGGTTTCAAACAAAATATTTCTATTCTGAGAACACATTTTTCCTCAAGAACGATAGTAGAGAAAGCATGTGGGACTGGGGCAAGACAGTCTACTTGGCATTTCTGGATCTAAGGGTGGTTTTTTACTCACTGCAGAGGAAGGAGATATGGGACACACAAATTACAAGGAAAGTGCGAGCAAACCTGGTGGATGCCATTAAGTCAGTTTATTGTGGGCAGGGTGGCCGAATGGGCTAACGCGTGTGCACTGCACCGCCGTTGCCCGGCAACCTGATATATCAATCAAATGATATAAAAATAGTCACGAGTTTGCATCCCGGTGCCGGGGGAGTCTTTTAAATCCCCGCCCTCATCCCCTGGCCCAGGAAAATCCCCGTTTAGCCTTCAGTCAGTTTATCAAGATCCAATGGGTATTCTAATAGTACTTAACGTTCAGACATCTTGGCTTTTCCATTTTTATAAGGGGTTAAAGCAGGGAGATAGCCTTAGCCTTCTGCTGTTCATCCTACTTATGAATGAGATTTAGAAGGTGCGTAAAAGAAGATCTTTAAGACCAGTAGTACTATTTTGGAATCTAATTCCAGTACTGACTCAAGCTATGATATGTGCTGATCATATTGTACTGATAGCTGAGTCAAGTGGCTCTTCAGGCATTTTTGGGTTAATTGAATGAGGAACTGAAGATAAGAGGTTTACAAATAAATCCAAACAAAAGCAAAATCATGTTTGTTGGAAGAGAAAACGCGGAGTCTAGGATTATATGAAACGGTGAAGCCCTGGAACTAATGAATACTTATACGTACCTAGGGACTATAATAAGTAAAAATGATAAAATAGACCATGAGCTTATAAATTGTGTGAGAAAGACAAATGGACTATACCATAGGTGGGGAACCTTTTTATCTTATCATTAGAAGCCGCAGTAAGGTTAGGCATTGCTAATGGAGGCTGCTATAATTCTTTATATTTTACCGTGGCTATTTTTATTTATTACTAAATACACACACCTACTTACATTCAACTTAATTCTATTAATTTCCAAATTGTTGTTACTTAAATAAGCAAATATTAATTAATTCTACCACTAGATTAATAAATATTGCACAAAAATGTTTGGTGGCCACAACTACATCACAGAAACCACTTGTGGCCTTTGAACCCGCAGTTTCCATTACTGTTCATCTCAGTTTTCCTGCATGGATCAACAAGATAGAAAGCTCTAAAAAAACACGTAAGTAAGATCTCATCAGCGGAAATGAGTTTCCTAAGAAGAATAGTTGGTAAGACCAGGAGGGACTGCCTCAGAAATGAAAGAATTCGGGAGGATTTGGGATCCTCGAGCGAGCGGCAACTAAAATAATATGGACTTGTCTGTAGAATGGACGATACCAGAAAAGCCAGGTGGTACTTGGAAGCCAGACCAGAAGGAAAACAGCCTCGTGGCAGATCTAGGTGCGTGCACTCGGATTACATTGGAAAACTTTGGGCAGCAAGAGGAGGTACCATCCCAGAGATGTGAAGACTAGCCAGGGACAGAGAAAAGTGGACTAGATGGACTGAGACTGAAACTCCATGCTTTAGGGCACCCAGGAGTTAGAGGAAAAAGTATACAATAGGTTGAGGCAAAAAATGGAAATATATTTCTTGGATTGAAGCTAGGTGCTGGGCTGCAAGGCATGATGTACTCATTTCTCCACTGTCGTGACCTATCTCAGCCCTCACCACTTTTCTTTATTACTGATTTTCTTTACAGATACGCATAAGAAAAATCGGAACATTTTAAATTTTTAATGTTATAGCCTAATATTCACCAAAGAATAAAAATTAAAAATTCATGCAAGCACTCTATTTTGTTTTTATTGCAGCTCTGTTATACTTTATGTATCAATATTTTTTAGAAATGGTTTCCGAATTGGTGCGAGCTTGTATGCTGTGCTTGCTGTGTGCGACGCACGCACATTGCTCCTCACATCACAATGTTAATAACACTCACCTCGGTGGAGGATTAAAAGCTTCCTATGAAAACAGTAGAGAAAACAGTCTACAGACCTCTCCTGATAATAATGTCCAACTTGTTGAGAGGTATGTTAATGTTTCTTCTTTAGAATGATTTATTAGTGATGAAAGTTTGTATATTGCTTTACAGTTAATCAAGCAAGATTTTTTTGTCATTATTATGAGTAAATTAATTCAGTAAATTTAGGTCAAAACGGACAGTCTCAGAAGAGGACTATATAAAACTTGCATTTGATAAATTTGGTGATGGAGAAAAACTCAACCTGACAGGATTTAGAAATCTGCTTGCTGCTGTCGGCATTAAGCTTATCAGCCAGGGGCATTCACCTTTTCATAAAAGTAATTAATCATCATTTATAAGTATGATAATAGTATAAGTATAATTCTTTCATTTGTTCAGTTTACTGTTGCTATTTTTATTTATAACTGAATACACACACCCACGTACATATATTCAACTTAATTCTATTAATTTCCTAATTTTCATTACTAAAATAATTCAATATTAATTAATTCTAATAGTGGTTAAATAGTTGACTGTCGTGAATAATGAGAAGAAGAATAGTTGGGGTGATCAGTCAAATAAGAAGGCAAAATAAATGATATTATTTATTTTGTCATTTCCCGACGTTTCGACCTGAAGTTCAGGCCATCATCAGGGCTAAGAAAAGAACCAGATAACAAGGTATGAGAAACATAAAAATTACAGTAAAATGCAGTTGTTAGAATAATGACAATAGTAAGAACAAGAGACAAATAATAATAACAGGTACAAAGTGTGAAATGATGAAGTAAACATAGTCAAAAAGATGACATAACACTTATGTTTCTTTTACAATACTTATGTCACCTTTTTGACTATGTTTACTTCATCATTCCACACTTTGTACCTGTTATTATTATTTGTCTCTTGTTCTTACTATTGTCATTATTCTAACAACTGCATTTTACTGTAATTTTTATGTTTCTCATACCTTGTTATCTGGTTCTTTTCTTAGCCCTGATGATGGCCTGAACTTCAGGTCGAAACGTCGGGAAATGACAAAATAAATAATATCATTTATTTTGCCTTCTTATTTGACTGATCACCCCAACTATTCTTCTTCTCATTAATTAATTCTAGTGCTAGATTAATAAATATCCTGCAAAAAATGTTTGGAGGCCATATGCAACCTCTGAGGCCGCAATTATATCATGTAGGCCACATGTGGCCTAGAGGCTGCAGGTTTCCCGTCCAAGGTATATATGAAGCCAATATGCTTGTTTCTATTAACTAATACCACTCTCTTCACTTTAAACTAATTATACAACAATGAAAATTACTGGAAATCAGTTCATATCACTTCTGGAACTACCTACAGTAAAGGAAGTATGATAATCGATTTAAAAACAATTTTTGTTGTCCCACTTAATATAATTGCTAATGTTAAGTAGAAAAAAAAAGTATTCATTAAAAAAAAAAATGTTCTATCCTCTTCACTAGAATCTCTAATTTCTAAATACCTCTTATTCTCTCTAACTATTCTAGTGTTGTTCGATAAAACTTATCTTTATTTATTTGGCTTCTCGTATGAACGTCTTAACGAGTCTCTCTAATGTCCTCTTGATTGGTTTCAAGGACAGCTAGTCATCTGCATATCCTAACATTTTATGATCATTTCGATATCCACTCCTCCATTATCATGTGATGTTCTTATCACCTTTTTCAGTGCTAAGTTAAACAACATCGGGGAGAGTCCATTTCACTGTTTCAAACCTCTCTACTTGCCCTTGTATCAGTACTTGGCATTTAGAATAATTTGTACACACCTTTGCCACTCTTACCATTTTCCTGAGAACTCCCAGCTCATTTATGACTTTCTAAAGATAGTTTCTGTCTATGGAATCCTAGGCTGCTTTAAAATTGACTAATAAGATGTCTAAAAACTCAGCTACTTCTCATCGTTTTTGAAAATCTGTTTTAGGATGAAGATCTGGTCTAGTATGCTCCTTCCTCTTTTGAATTCTTCTTTTGATAGTTACCTGTTTTATTTTTATAATACAAAAATACCTGATAATAGTTTGGCTCACAATATTAAATCTGTTCCAACATGAGTTATAACTATCAGTAAGCCGCTAGCCGTATGCATAATACAGTTTTTCTCTTCCACAAATGGTACACCACATGCTCTTCAAATGGAAAATTGTATCTATATGTGGTGGACAGTTCACTGATACTCAAAACTATTCTTGGAACAGATCTAATAACAGATAGGAAAAAGTAAAAATATTTCATTTTAATAATATGTTTTTACTTGATTATTTATAATAACTTTATTGAATGTGTTTTAGCATTAACTGAAGAGAATAACAATTCTACTGATGTGAAAAATACTAAGGTAAAGGTTTATTAATAATTTAATAAATTTATAACTTAAGAATACAAAATTTACTAACTCAAAATCAGTTAATTAGTTATTAAAATAAGAAAAAATAATAATTAATTAAACTCATATAAACATAATATGTCTATACTTGAATAATATTGATGAATGAACATGATTTTGATTGAAAAAAAGAAGTTTTTGTCTATAGAGAAAAACTTGAAGTTTATATTTTAAAAATTTTGACAACAAATAAAAAAAATTTATAGTTCAGGCGATAATGTGGTTCATAAAGAAATGTTTGAATGTGGCCAAATAGATCGAAATGTCACATATATGTGTGATATAGCCACCATTAATGTATAATAAAATTGAAGATATAATTAATAAAAGTTTTTTATTGTTGATAAAGAAAATTTTATTGTTAATGTATTTTTTGGGATGATAAAATCGGTCCTAATTTGTCAATTATTGATAAATTAACAATTTTTTGTTTATGTTTATTATAATTGTTAATAATGTTTATAAATTAGCTTTATTATATCCTATTTTTAGATAATTTATACATATATATATTAATTATATTTACATAGAAAATAAGTAACCTAATAAAAGGTGAAAATCATTACGATTAATTAAATAACAATATTTTCTAATGTCTTCTTCATTTGTTATCCTCTTATAATTATGTAGTGGTTATTGAGTGTAGTAAAAATTAACTAATTGATTGAAAGAATTGTCCAAGCAAAGGAACCTGTTTTAATTAATGAATATAATTATATTACATCCATTCATGTTAATATTGACTTTAAAAAGAAAAAGAAAAAATTATATTTTTTGTCTTGCTTTCTGATTTATATTTGCTTTGAATGATTAATTTTAGTTATTTGAAATTTACAGACAAAATGTGAATCTCTCGACGATGCCTTGATCCACCCAGTTAATGTGACACAGTCCAAATTCAAGGAAATCTGCCCGTGGATTATTAATGAAATAATTCGTTCAAATTCTCATATGGAATCTCCTTGTCACCACGACCACGAACACTCGGAAGAAAGAAGTGAAGAAGCAAGTCTTATTGTCGGTTTGTATCATTTTAAACTTTTTAAATGTTTATCTAACGTATTGTTGTATTAAATTGAATTATTTCTGTTATAATTTTGGATTCTCACTCAGTTTTATTATTTTGTTTCAGTTTGGGTCTACGCTAGTATTTCTGTGATCCTGATCAGCCTTTGTGGCTTGTTGGCAGTTGCAGTGATACCCCTGATGCAGATGACTGTCTATCAAGGCCTTCTGCAGTTCTTGGTTGCACTTGCTGTCGGTACACTCTGCGGCGATGCCCTTTTACATCTTCTACCACATGTAAGCTTTTATCTCTCATTACTCTCAATTGATGAACGTTGGATCAGCCTAAATGTTTGTCTATGTTGTAGTTGTAAAACTGCTGTTTTAATTAAGATGTAAAGTGATAATTATATTTCTAATTTATTTCACATTACTCCAACACTGTCATCACCACCTATGCCATGACACGTGTATCCTATCAGTTAATAACGATCCATCTATTGCATCCCAAACTCTCCAATCACACATCACAAGTCTTGAAAAATGTTAAAATAAATTCCAATAAATCCCATCAAATTACCTTCACTCTTTGTCGTAAACCTATGACTTCCTGTCCTACAGTATCCTTCAACAATAGCCCACTTATCCCTGTCAAACAAATCCGATACTTAGGACTCCACCTTGACAAACGACTCACTTGAAACCTCTATACCAGACTGAAACGACTAGAAACCGCCCGACGTTTTCGACTACTGCAGCACTTACTAGACAAACGCTCTATGCTTTCAGTCAATTACAAACGACTCATATGTATGACAATAATAAGACCTATTTGGACTTACGGAATTGAGCTTTGGAGCTCCACTTAACCATCGAATTCCTCTCGTATCCAATCCTTACAATCCAAAATCCTTCGTAAAATCCTCAACGCTCCTTACTTTGTCACAAATAAAATCATCCATAAAGACCTTAATGTTCCATATGTTTCCGATTTGGCCCAATCCAGATACCTATCCTTCCATAACAAACTGCAAAACTATCCGAATCCTCTCGTTTCAAACCTTGCTTCCTCCTCGATCCCTGATAACCCTCCGAGGCGTCTGAAAAGAAGATGGCCTCGGGACCTTCTAATATAGAACTTTAATTTGAGTTCTACCAATGGGTAGTTTCTCTTCATGTTGTTCATGTCATGTTACCAATGCCACATTTGCTTGTTGTATTATCTATGTAATACAGTAGTAAATTTCATTAAATAAAAAAAAAAAAAAAAAAAAAATTCACATTACCTCCGTTATTTGTATAGAATTCACTGAAGATAATAGTTTTTAGTCGATTTTGAAATCAGCCCAATAAAATCTAATCTATTTCATCTCTACTGTATGTATAAGATTTGTTGAATTAATTTTTTTTTTTTTCAAGGCTATGTTAATTAGCCATGGAGCGCATGACCACAGTGGTTGGAACAGCGAATCAAAAGACCACGATGATCAACATGATACCAATTTGTGGAGGGGCTTTATTGCAGCTTTGGCCGTTGTTTTCTTTTATTTCACTGAGAAATTTTTTTCAATGCTAACTGAATGGCATAAGAAGTGCCAGAGAAAAAATAAGGTAATTACGATAATTAATTAAATAAATTTATCAAAATATTAATATTTAATTTTCCTTGGCTTGGTGGCTATACAGAGTTTTTCCCAGGACATGTGAAAGAGTAGAGGATTAATGACAGAGTTAAAAGCCTCTGGCATTGGGACTCAAGCTTGTAATCTTCTGTTTATCAGGTTGTCAAACAACTCTTATTTTGCATACGTGTTAGACTTCTCTGGCACCCTATTCACAATTAATTTTTTAGTTTATTATTTTTATTAATGGACCATTGTAATCAACCAAGAAAAAAAACTAGTTAACCCACATCAATGTTATGTAGAATCTGAAAATAAAAAAAAAAAATTCTCTAGTTGCCATCCACAGCTTTCCTCCAAGACTACTGGACCGATTTTTTTAATATTTAGCAAGAAAATCAGAGGTCCGCTGAGGATGATTTCTCTAACACTATATCATCCGCTGTTTCGTTTAAAAATGACTACTGAAAAACAGGTCTTCTTGTAGTCTGTTGTACCAAGACAGACAAAAGAAAAAAAATACAGTTACCTAAATAATAATTTTAAAATTGGAAATTTTAAATTTTTTACTTTTATTTTATTTATTTGTTTTAATTTTAAATATAAAGTTATATATCATAATTAACTTAATTATCATTCATGGACGTTTCACAAACATTAAATCAATCCATCCTCTTTTTCTTTTAATTTTTTTTTATATGATGATAAAGTTTCTTCATTAAAAAATTGTTTTATATTTTTATTGTAAATTTGCCTTTTGTTTTTATTTTTTATATTTATTTTATAATATATTTTATATTATATTATATATATTTATAATATAAAAGAAATTAAAATTATATTTCAGAAACCAACTACAAGAGTTCATGTTGTGCGTGAAGAGACTCAGTCTGATCAAGAAAATCGTGTTGGTGAAAAACTTTGTAAACACAAGTACAGCTCTTATCCGTATTGCTATGGAGAGATTACCAATTCCGCCACGGGTATGCAGTATTTTATCATCAAATTCTAATTTTTTTTATTATTTTTATTTTATTTGATGATTTCATTTCAGATAATATTCCTCCAAACGGTCCTTGCTTCGGTGATTCGGAAATTAACAATATACGTTTGATGAGGGAAGAAAATGGTGTGAACAAGCAAGAAGTAAGTATTAGTTAGTTTTTATTACTTTCACTTACCGATCGTGAAAATTTTTGAATCTGAGTTTTCAATATATGAAAAATGGTTAAATATAAAATAGGAAAGAATTTGATAAATAACTACAGGAGAAATAAGAGATCGTAACAGCGAATAGTTGTAATTGAGGAACCAATAGAATACGAGCGCCCCAAGCTCTCCCGAAAGATTAGAACATGCTTCCATACGTATCATGAGATTAATATAATACGGATTCCGACAATATTATATAAATATACATATGTGGTTTTCGTAAATGCTATTGTTGGTATTATTTAATATTTAATTGTATAGATTACTGCGATATAAATATTAAAATTTGTATATATGAGGGTACTTATACAAATAAAAAATACTCACAATGAAGTATAAATAAATATAGAGTCTATAATTTTTACTTTCAATTCACTTTGTCTGAAAATACTTATTTCTGCTAAGAAGAGGGTGATAAATGAAAGTTGTGTGACCACACCAAATTTTTTTTAATAATTAAACAATAGGATTGTGGTATATTTTCAAAAATAACTAGCTTTTGTGCAGTTTTATATACAAAAATTTGTTTAATATTTCTATTGGTTTTTAAATTTATCAAAAATTATACATCTCCCAGAATCCTCAAGATTTACAAGATGATTATTGAATTGCTCTTAAAGCTTAAATTTGTATGAAATTAATCGAAGTGGAGACACCAGAATTTTTGTTAGTTTATTATTTTCGATAACGAACCACTGTAATTGAACAAAAAATTCTAAAACTTGACCTCTTTCAAAAGTTGAAGTTTTATATTTTAGGATACATAGAACTCAAATTCCATTGTTTTGATTTTTGATTTTTTGAAGGTGTTATATCAACTGAAGCAATGCTATTTTTCTGTGCAAATTACTAATGATTAAATTAAAAATGATTTAGACTAATATTAATAATCTCCTTTTATTTATTTTTCTTTTTGTTACAAGGAAAGTTATGTTATTTTTTATATATAATTGATTGGAAATAATGAACTTTTGTGTAATAATTTGCAGTTTTTTTCTTTTTAATTGATTTGTCAGTATAAATAGATTTAAAATGAATAGCTGCAATTTTTCCAGGCTGTTTAAATTGTAAAAATAAATTGAATAGAAAATTTATATAATTTTTTTATGCTTTCTAATAACTATGAAATTATATTCCTGATTTTTTCCTCGTCACCCTTTAAATGACAACCAGTGATGCTTTTTTTTTTTTAAGTCTTGATTGAATTCTGATTTTTAACAAGTGATTCTATCTATTGTTTTATTTTTAAAAAAAATATTGTTATAGTTGTTAATTAATTATTTATCTAATAATGATATTTTATTTTTGAAGGAAATTGACCCACAAAAAGAAGATGTTCCCTGTTCAGAGAAGCAGTTGCTTGAAACTGCAGATCAAGTTCCTGAATACACCGTTATTATAAGGTAAATTTAATATATTCTTATTTAAAGCTTGGTTGTTGAAGCTAAATTTTGGTTAAGCTAATGAAAAATATGTCTTTGCAAGTAAATAATTGTATTTAACTACTTTCTAATTATTATTTCATTAAGGATATTTATGAAATCAATGTAAGATATTAGGTTGATAAATTATTATTTTTATTTTTTAAATTAATTTCTTATATCTCATAGGTACAGTTGTTAGCATAATAATTTTAACAGAAATCTTTTTTTCACATAAACATTAACTGCTCATCAGACACCCACAGCTGATTAAAAGACCTACCCAAATCGATCTATTTGCGGTTCGGAAAACTATTGGCATATTAACATACTATATTAATAGAAATAGTTCACATATTAATAAGAGATAGCAGCATAAACAAAATTATTTTATTCTGTAAAAAGAATAGCCTGTTTAACAAAATCTAAAAGGTCTTAATCCTTTAACTCTTGAGTCTATTTGTTGAATGTTTGGTGACATAGGACTTTAAATTCCCAATGTTTTCTTTCTGTCGTTGCTTATATATTATTGTTTTATACGAATTTGAATGATTTTTATTGTTATCTCACTTCCCATTTCACTTAAATCTATTTTAAAATATTAACTATTAATTAAAGTAAACTTAGGTTGAATCTACTTTAGCTTAGTTTATTGTAAGTATTGATGGTAATTTGATTGTATTTTGTTGCTATTATAACCTGCAAGAGAATTAGATTTATTATTTACATACTAAATTTAATGGTATTTTTTAAATTTTAAACTAGTCTAAAACAAAACAACATTGTTGAAACTATTGTAATAATTATTTCTCTAGATGTTTAGTAAGCAATTATATACTATCGAAAATATTATGTAATAACTCTAATTCAGATAGTCACATAATTTTAGACATGTCTAATGTCTAATGAGCACTGTTCTATTCTTGGCCAGTGAATTTATTTTTCTTGCAGTTCCTAAATTATTTTAATTGGTTTAATATGTATTGTTTTTTGCTTCAATATATTAGGATAAATTTAATTTACACTCTTGATCCCAAAGTTGTATTTAATTTCAGCCTGGCCTACTTAAATTAATTGTTTTTCTTATTATGATGGTTAAAATTGGACTATCTGTGTTTTTAGAGAACACGAAACAAGACATCATGGACATGCGCACACTCACGGCCACGTGCACTCAGCTCCCAGCTCGCTGAGCTCGGTGGCTTGGATGGTGGTGATGGGAGACGGCTTACACAATTTGGCCGATGGATTGGCTATAGGAACAGCTTTTGGTGCAAATGTGGGGGGAGGAATCAGTACTGCAGTTGCGGTATTTTGTCACGAACTTCCTCATGAAATTGGTAATGTGGTTTTAATGCTTATTTGTCTGTGTTTGTTATATTTATCTGTATTTTTATCAAGGCTTTAAACGGAAAAAAACTTGAAACTTTTATTTTTAAAAAGTTACGGTATTATCAGAATTTTTATTGTCGATAGTTTTTCAGTTTTTGGAACTAGAACTTTTTCTCTTGCAACTTTTCATGTAAAGATTTTACAGAAATTTTATTTTTAAATAACTTGTAGTTTAAAAGTCGATTTCGCTAAAAAGTCAATGTAAAAAATGACTTTTATTTATTATTTCGTAGCCACTCAAACAAACGACACATTAGAATCATTTGTAATTCATTTAAGACAACTCCAATATAAGTCCACTTACTGTTTATTTTTTATTTAACAGAACTTTTTTTAAGAACTTGAATAAATAAAATTTAAACTTTTATTATGAACCTGGAACTTTATTACAAAAAAGTTCCTTAGAACATTTATTTTAGAAACTTTTTCCTTAATAAGTTTCACAGAAACTGTTAAAATGGAACTTTTTTTTTCTAAAACGTTTCACAGAAACTGTTATAATAGAAATTAAAAAAAAACATTCCATGAAAGTTTCAACCCCCTGATTTTTTTCAGAACAATCTATTGGATTGGCAAATAAGTCCTTTCGGTTGTTCAGGATAATATAAAATCGGAGTAATATAGATATAAAATTTATTTTAATCTACAATGTATTCACCGTTATTTAGTATGACCTGTTCTCATTTCCACTAATTGCGTGATCCAACATTCATAGAATATCTGGGTTGTACTGTAAAAAAACTGATATAAATAGTTTTTGATGTTCTGTTCATTTTGGGTCCGTTTTCAGCTCATGGATTTGGACTAATTATGTAGACTGGATTGATTGGTGGTCGGTTGGAGCTAGATCTGGTGAATAGGGAGGATGGGCAGAAAGGAATGTTTCGTGTTCCAAATTGACTTCAGTCAGAAAGTGGAGAACCCAGATATGTTTTTAACACTTGTGTGTGACACATCTAGGGCAATTGCAATCTTGTACTGATTTTGATCAAAATGGCCTTAACATTGCTCGTTTCTTGTTGCAACATTGGAGAATATGGAGTGTCATTAGTATAAGAAACTATATAATTAAGGTTCAATTTCAGCCTGTTTTTGATTCATTGTTTTTTTGTCTTGTGAAGTTTAATTGTAAGTTTGTATGTTATTATAAATTTATTTATATCATATAATGATTACTGTTTTCAGGTGATTTTGCTGTTCTGTTGAAAGCAGGGATGTCAGCGAAACAAGCAGTATTTTATAACTTATTGTCTTCTATCTTATGTTTTTTCGGCATGGCGTTGGGTATTGCTCTAGGACATAACGATTCTATGAAGCAATGGGTCTTTGCGTTTGCTGCTGGAATGTTTTTGTATATTGCACTGGTTGATATGGTAAGTTAAGTTTTCCTAAAAATACATTATTTTGATAATTATTACTGGAAAAGTTTTAACTTTGGTTGCTAGTTTAACCTATGTTATTAACTTTCCTAATGCAGTTTTGTTGGATGAATTTATTGCAGAAGTTACTATATTAAATTTAACCCACATTCATGATTGCTACAAAAAATTAGGTGTTGGCATGATATTTCTTATTGGTATTGAGGGGGGTTTGTTGTAAAGGTACAACCAAACTTATTCTATCCAGAGTGGGAGTGTCGAGTTTCATTCCGTGGGTCCACAAAATAAAAGTCAACACCTCCCATGCTGGATTCAAATCAGCGTCGCTAGGCACAAGGAATGCTAGAACAGGCAACGCTCTAACACTCAGCCATCACGACCTCAATTCTAGTGGGTACCAGGACATGTGGCTCTATAAGGAAATGAAAGTGCTGATCAAATTGCTCGACATATTACAAATGCAATAAGGATATCCCAAAATAGACATTTTCCATTCAATAAGTAAAACAATTGTCAACAAATGGCAGAATTTATATGACTAGGAGCAAGGAGAGAGACCATTATTTAAAACATCCAAAAGTCCATATAAGACCTTGGTTCGCCTCTATTGGAATATGTTTGGAAAGAAGTGAGGTGAAAAATTTAATTAGGTTGAGAACCAACCATGTAACTACAAATAAATTCTTAAACTTGATAAAACTAAAGGTGACACCAAATTGTGAGATATATGACGAAGTCGAGGATCCGCTACATCTAGCAATATAAGGTGTAAACGTTTTAGCAAAGAGAGGAGAAAATATATCGAGGGATTGTCACTCAATATTCCTAAAATAATAAAAGAGCAAGTGAAACATAGTGACGGAAAGAATTAACTTAGAAAGTTCATTAGAAAAATAAAATTATAGCTTTGATACTTCAAAAAATATAAATTCCTGGCAAAATAAGATTTTTTATAAAATCTTAAAGCCCAAAAAAACAATTAATTTGTGATGGAAACGTAAGGAAAATAATGTACATAACATTTTCCCAAATGCAGGGGTGCCCAGAACGCCATAACAATTTTTGAGGGGGACACATTTTAACGTGGTCATGAATTTTTGGGAAGAAAAGTTTCAAACAAAAAGACAAGGATAATAGTATGTAATATATAAATTTTCTAATTCTACTTTCATTTGCATTGTTTTTTAGAAGATGTGTGCAATAAGATATCTTAGGATGGAATAGCTGCACCATCGATCTTTGAGTGGATGGACATCCCTACCCAGATGAGATAACATTTTGCTGATATACGTAGAGCTCATCAACCTCAAATTTCTCACTTAAATCAATAATTTTGCTATAGTTGTTTTGACCAATTTCCATAGATAATGTTTTTTTTTTTTTGCTGTATAGATTAGTTTGATCTCAAACGTACATTTATCTGACAGAAACAAACATAAATTTATAATTTTTTCATAGTGTTGCTATATATTTTTTAAAGACGTTGCCTTTCTCAGATGGATGGTACTTTAATAGAATCACGTTAATAGCATAATTTTTTTATGAGCGTTGTTGTAAATTTAATTTGTAATGTGCATTGTAAATGTAAATGTTCAGTCGTCACAAAAAGGTTGGGAACAGCTTTCCTAAGCATTCATCCTAAGACCCAAACATACTTTTAGGCAGAGGTTAATGCTAGGCAGATGGAGTATCAGATATTATAAAAAAGGCTCCATTTATTTTTAAAATGATCATGATGGATACGATTAAGTGAAGTAAAAAAAAATAGTTTGTGATTTTAATCACAAATGCGTGATTACAATTAAATATGTATACTTTAAAAATTCATGTGATATACTTTCTAATTTTTTAAATTTTTTTTTTTTTCAGGTTCCAGAATTATCTAGTTCTCATTCAAAAGAAGGAGGCTCTATCTGCCAGTGCCTTCTTCAGTTCTGTGGTCTTATTACCGGGATTGGTATCATGCTCGTAATTGCGCTCTATGAGCATGCGCTCATGGAATCGTTTCAGCATTCGTTTTAAATCTTCATTTTCAATTTTCCAGAGGTAAAAATCTTTTACGAAGTAAACTTTTTTATTTTTTTTAAACTGTCATTTATCCCTATAGATGAAATTTACAATTAGCAAAAGCATCATCACAATCATGAAAAATTTCTAATTTAAATGGTCTGTGTGTGAACAGACTAGCTGAAAAATAAGTGTCATATGAAATTGAAATATATATTGAAGGTCAGTATACGAGATGTGTAAATTAAGTAATGAGGCTGGTTTTTTCAATGGTTTTATGCAAATAAAATTACGATTTCATACTATGAGTATTCATGCACTTGTTGTAAATGCTTAATGTGCTATCATGCTAAGCAGTCAGCATAAATTTTGAATGAATGGTTAATAACCTGTCTCCACTAACCTGCTGAAGTATTATTAGTTATAGTTAGGTTATGTCTGTACTGTAAACAAAGTTTTTGAGTTCTTAATTGATCTACTAACGTTTTGATTTATTTTTAAAATGCCAAAGCGAAGTAAAAAGACTGAGTTGCTGGATTATTTAGTTAAAAATACTTTATTAGAAAGCACGAGTGAAGATTCAGATGATTCAGTAGCCAAAGAACTTGATGAATACTTATATGGAATCCTAGCTGTCTTTACATTCCTTTTACTCATCTGTGGAAATTGTACACAAAGAATCAAACACATAAAAACCTTACAATAACCTTCTCTGTGCGTTTACGAAGTTAGCAACATTTTACAGGACTCTAAGCTGTGTTAACATCCAGAGTGCTTGTGGCTGGCTATATTTAACACACATTTCGTCAATAATTTTCTTGATTTTACTCATTTAAGAGGTTTACAATACTTAGCGCTGGTTGTCTGAATACCCATGCTATCTCCTTCAAAGTAACTACGTAGTAACATCTCTTGAGGTGAATTTTTAATCTTGGGAAGAGAAAAAAGTCACATAGACTCAAGTTGGGTGAATAAGGAGCCGTAGGAATGTTTTTACTAGCCAAAAACTCATAGAAATCGTGGTGTGACAAGGAGCATTGTCGTGAAGCAACACCCACATGTTTTTGATGTTTGGTCTGTCACGCATGAACCTTTTTCAAAGTCTTTCAAGAACTTCTCATTAAAAACATTAATTTACTGTTTGATTTTAAGTCAGAAATTCTTTGTGAATGATTCCTATGAGGCTCATCTTCAGCTGATTCTCTTTCTTCTGAAAATGGTTAACCCACTTAAAAAAATTTGAAAAAGCTCTCGACAGTGCAACAGTTCTGGTGGGTTCAAACTTCTACTGAATGCATATCAGATGCTTATCTGCTTCCCCTCCATGTGCCATGTCCCCAGTGTTGCTGCATCGAACACAAAATAATCAGTCTCATTACTTAATTTTCACACCTTTTATGTATATAAAGACCACAGGGGAAGAACTCAGTAAACCAATTTTTGCACAAAAACCGCTATTAAATCTTCATTTTCCAGTATTTCTACTTCTAAAAAAATTGGCAAGTTCTTCAAATATCAGAGAATACTGCTACTATTTAAAATGCAAAAAAATATATATTTTATGAATATTAATTTTAAATATTCTGTTAATTCAGAATTATGCAAGTTAGTTTTTTTGAAGTACTTCTTCCCTCTGCTGTCACAAAATTGTTTCCAATATTGCAAGTCGTTATATTTTTCATTGGAAACAGGAAGTGGTTTTGTATAACTACTTTAAGCAAAGAAAAATTCTTCTTTTTCGGAAGCTGATGACGCTTGTATTGATTCTTGCTTCTTCCAGCACCAGTTATATTCTTCTGTTGTGTTTTCTTTTGACGGTTTGTTGTTGCAACTGCAGAGTTCGGTATGAGAATTGAGCTTATCCAAACTTTGTTAAAAGTATCCATGAGATACACTGATCGTGGGTGATCAGTATCAAATTTCAGTTGCCTGATTGGATGAGTTTTCATTGGTGCTGATTTAGCATAAGTTGTTTTTTTCGATAAACTGTGTCCAGTTTTGGATAAGGTATTGATCTACTCTTTCTAAACAAAATGGCGAAAGCTTGCATTTCACTTCCTTCAAATTCTCCATCCAATTGTTTGGAACTTCGGCTCTGAATTTTTGATCTACCAATGCCATGTCTTTATCACATCCCATTTATGAATGTCTATGTGTCAGTTTTGGAGAAATGGCAACAGCAACAGATAAAGTGTCAAATGAGCCTTATCTGATAAGCTTATGTCAAAAACTAAGCACTGAGGGAGTTGAGAGCAACTGTTAATCACAGGAAACTCCTAGGAAGAAATTTTCAGAGAACCCTCTATGTTAACTCGTTCTTTCCCTGTATGCTAAATAATATTAAATCAATGAAATAATTTTTTACACTTCAAGTTTATAAAATAAATGAAAAGAAAAAAAACCAAAAATGAATGAAAATCAAATGAAATTTTTAAATCTATCTATTATATAAAAAGGTTTCTGTGATTTCATTTTCTAATCTCAACAAATTAAAATGCTGTGATTTTTTTCTATCATATAAAAGTTTTTAGTGATGGTAATATTTTAATTATCACTCTCAACAAATTAAAATTCTAGGACTCAGACTTGAAATTTATTTTTTTTCTGCTTGCACTATATTGAAAAAAATAATACAATCTAAACTACAGAATACATGTAAATTACAGTTATAAACTTTGAGTAATGAGTAGTACAATTAAATGAACAGTTGTATAATTTGTACAATGGGGTTGGTCCATCTTTAGGCGGACAGGGGGTACCCTCCCCTCCCCTAGTTTTCTATAAATTCATAAATTTATAGCCAATATTAAAAATGTAAATAAAATTATTATTAATACCTTTAAAAAAAAACTGGACGTTATTATACAAAAAATATTGTCTGCTCTTGTTTATCTGGTAGCATGCATGTAAATGATGAGGAAGACAGTCTGTGGAGATTGATGAAAAATAGTTTGCATGGCGAGTAGTTGATTTTCTATGAATTTTTTTGCTGGTAATGAAATCAATAAAACACTCTTAACTATGCAATAAAACTGCAAGTGGGCAATATACCAATTGGCAGATGTGTCCGCATCAAAGGGCTTAAGCAGACTATCTTATGTTAGAAAAGTCAATGGGCTTAGTGTTTGTATTAAGGTACCATTAATACAAACCATGTTAACAAATTGTGAATATTTAAGTATAGACAATATAAATATTTATTAATGAAATATAAATTCCAACTTATATGCTTTGAGAAATGATTTTATCTTCAAGGTTTCAATAAAGGAACTGAAGGAAAATTAATTAAAACAAAGTAAATTTATGCTTTGAGCGTTAACAAATGTCGTATTTTATTTTCATTCCTACCCTGCCTTTAAGGCAATACAGGATTTTGCAGCAGTTACTTGATACACATTCCTGCATATCAAATCACTGCTGCTATAAGTGTCTTATGCAACATTATATTTTTTAAATTCCACTACTAATATACATATATTTATTTTTACAGGTTTCAATAGCTGGATTGGCCCTAGGATCAAGCTTAATGAAAATTTAGGCTTGTTAATGTTGAGTTTCATCAGTTACTCATTAAAAACTATATTTAATTTTCTATAATTCTTTCAAGTTGCTTTTCTTTTTCTCGTTAATTTAGTAATATTTTAAATATTTAAAACATCTATTTTATTTGTCTTCCATGACTGAGTACTGATGTGAATTCTTTAATAGTCTGTTAATTTTATTTTAATTCAATATTATTATGTTTTGTCAGCAATTAGAAAGACTGCTGATATATGGAAATATTTCTGCAATTCGTCTCATTTATATTTTTACTAAGTGAAGATAAACTTAGTTCATACAACAATCTCATCTTAATGTTATAAAGTATATATATTATATATAAAAATGAACGGGGGAAGGGGCGAACTATTTTTGAACATGTGTAAGTGAATTTGATTAGATAAAATAAAAGGCTGTGAGTTCCTATACTTACTCGTAATGAAACATAAATAAAAAAAATAATAGAAAATTAAAAAGTTATTAAAAAAATAAAATAAAATAAATATAATAATAATGTTAGAATTTAATGTAATAAGTATTTCAGAGATTTGTGTATTGGTGTAAATAATTGTTTTTTATTGTAAAATTCCATATTTTATATTTCAAAACAAAGGTCTAAGAAGGAAAGGCAAGTTTAGCTTTTGTATTAGCCACTGACTGTACAAGTTGTCTATTTATATATATATATATATAATGGAGAAGAATTATATTAAAACTGTATATGTTGCCATTTATTTTATTATTATTTTTTTAGTTATTGTAATAAAGAAAGAAATCGACAATTTTATGTATGTACTTATTAGAGTTTTGTTGACTAATATTTTTTTATAGTTTACTTATTGATTTTTTTATAATTATTAATTTATTTTTTAGGTTTGTACCTTTTTTGTAACTAGTATTTTTTTTTTTTTTTAGTTATGGCAAACAAAAGTATGTCTACTTTTGAAGTGTATTGATTTAAAATAATTATTTCTAATTTATGAAAGTATTTATGAATGGTCTAGATTACAGTTAGTTGAACATTTGTAACAAATGTACTTATTATCATTATCGGTGTCTCTACTTGAAATTTAATTTTTTAGAATAATATTTATTCTAGCGCCTACAAGGATTTATAAATTGTACTTTACTACCATAAATACAAATCTTTCCAATCTCTAGCTCATTTATTCCTTTTATGTTAAGAATTTTATTGAAGTGTAGTTGTTGTTGATAATATTCAATTACTAATACTAATGTAAATCTATGGGTCGTTAACTTTCACTTACCTAAGTATGTAATATATAGGGTTTCCCATAAATATTGGGAAATATTTAAAAGGTTGATAGTAGACACCCAGATCTACAAAAAGTACATATAAACAATTGCCCAATTTCCAGCAGAAAAGTAGGAAATTTAAGATTTTTATTTTTTTTAAGCGAGTCATGTTTTTTGTTGGATAGGAAGTGATAACTTAAAAAAAAATTTATTTAAGT